GACCTGACTGACACACACTTGGCCTGCCAATCACCTTTCAAACACAATCACTGAACACAGATCAGACCTCTGATTCACACTGACTCATCTTAAAAGGAAGGCGAAAAGACATTATTTCTTTGTGTTGGAGGTTGGAATGATAGCCTGGCTAGAAAGAACAATGCTAGAAAGAAAACAGGTGTTAAAATGATCATACATTTTTTCCCACTTTTACATGTTGAGTCATAATTCAGGTCAGTTCAGAGGTTCTGAGCACTGAAAGTCCATCAAGTTCTCAAAGTCAAAAGATCAAGAGATGATTCTACATGATATGAACTTTTGAAAGTAAAGCGAACGCACGCTAACTCAGTGCCGCAGGGCAAACTCATTGAGATGAATTTCTGTTCACCCACTATATATAGTCCACACGGCACATTTGTTTGTGTGCGTGACAAAGGTGTTGGTGTAAAACTATTTATCAAAGGCCTGTCTGTAGGTTATTGGCTAGATTGGGATGGTAAGATCGAATGGGAGACACCTCATGAAAACAAGTCTCTCTCCTTTCACTAATGATCTTTTCATCACTTTTTTTATTCTTATTCGCCACATCTTATTGTGATGCCATCACACCTGACGCAGTGGGAGATGCCATTAAGAACATATTCTCATATGATCTCATTTGAATTCATTTGAACTGCTCTATTTTCCATATACATTTGTGAAATAAAATATAGTGTCCGTGTCAGTGACAATATTATGGGTACGATTCTCAGTGAACGCATACATTTATTACATAACCTTGAATATAAGGCACATCATCAGCATGTACAGTACTTCAGAATTGCATTAAGATAGTTTTACATACACTTTGCAGTATCTGCAAAATATTAATTATTTTACCAAAATAAGAGGGATCGTACCATAACATCATGCATGTTATTTTTTTATTTAGTACTGACCAGAATAGGATATTTCACATAAATGACATTTATATAGTCCACATGAGTAAATACTAGTTGAATTTATAAAAATGACCCCTTTCAAAAGTTTACATACGCTTGATTCTTAATACTGTGTTGTTACCTGGATGATCCACAGCTGTTTTGTTTTTTTTTGTCGTGATAGTTTTACATCAGTGTTAATTTTGACAGCAAATTTTGATTTAGTTTTAGTCATAGTCTTTTGACTAAAATGCCATGTAGCTTTAGTCATATTTTAGTCATCTGAATAATGATCTTTAAAATAGCATCATATGACCCCTTTAATGAAATACCAATGGTTATATATAATGGCTAATTATGCATTCTTTATAGCAACCTGTTAACCATATTCTTCATTCGTTCAAGCAGACATATTTATTTCTATAAATAAATTTAGATTCATCTTTAGGGCAACTAAAGTTTTTCAGTCAAGAGCAGTGCGTGATTTTCTGTCTTTCTTTTGTTGCTTGATTAACATCAATGACTTGGACAATAACTAAACATTTTTGTCTGGTTTTTGATTAATTGACGAAAATGTCAATAGATTTACGTCATAGTTTTTGTCATTCAAAAAGAGTTTTAGTTCGTTATCGTCTCGTTGTTGTCGGTGAAAAAAATGTCTTTGACGAAAATTATGACGAAAATTATTAGTCAACGAAATTAACACTGTTGTACATGAGTCCCTTGTTTGTCCTGAACAGTTAAACTACAACATTTAGGATTAATAATACACCTTTCAAAAAAATTTGGTCAGTAAGATTTTATTTGTTAAAGAAATGAATACACTGAAAAAAATTATACTAAATTATATAAAGTATTTATTTTAGCTACATTTAAATAAACAAAAAAGTTGAACGTTAGTCAACTAAATTTGTTTATTTAAATGTAGCTAAAATAAATTGATTGTAACCACTTACCTTAAAAAAATTTGTAAATTCAATGACTCATTTTTTTTTCAGTGTACTTTTATTCGGCAAGGATACATTAAATGGTTCAAAAGTGACAGTAAACACTTTTACATTGCTACAAAAAAATTCTACATGATAAATGTTATATAGACTATTCTATATAATAATCTACTTAAAAAATGCTGTTCTTTTGAACTTTACATTCACTAAAGAATCCTGGAAAAAATGTTCTAGTTTTTAAGCAGCACAACTGATTTCAATGTTTGCACAAGATTTCACCTTGTGCTATATATTAAAATGAAATAATAGCACAAGGTGAAATCCTAAGTATGTTTTTTTTTTATTCAACATTTTCATAAGTTAACATTTAACAAGCATATTTTGTCCAAGCAATATTGCCCCTCAATGATTTAGTTTGGGCAATTAGGACTTTTAAACCATTATACTCTATGCATATTTAGTTTTTATGACATGATATTTACATTTATGCACTTGGCAGATACAAGTCGAATTATATTGCACACAAGGTATACATTTTATGAGCTTTTGCACTTCTTGGGAATCCAACCCATGACCTTGGTGTTGCTAATGCCATGCCATGTTTCAATTAGAGTTACAAACTATTACACTATCCTTTAAAGGAACATGCTGAAAGATCTGATGTAAAGATGTTAAGGTACATTCCGCTGTCCAAAAAGATACACAAATTCTTAGCACTGCTACAACACAAACTCACATTTGAGCCCTTCCACAAACTCAAAGCGGTCGGCTCATTAAACAGCCATTGAGGGAAACCACCTTGACTTTTATTGACCCTATAAATCTAGTGAGGAGTGGATGAGAGGTCTCTGCCTTAGAGAGCGTTTAAAGACAAAGACTGCTGGTCCTTCTGAGACAATACACTTCCTGATTAACTATTAACAACTTCACCACTGATAACTTAATTAGGGGCCAATGATGGGGCTTCAGTAAGAGCCTGGGCCCTTTCATTTGTCGCCACTTGATGGACAGGCACTCACTGGCTGCAAGTGGATTGTGTGTGTGTGTGTCTACTGAAGGGTTTGTAATGGTAGTAAACATACAACACAAAAATACCACTCAACCAAGCGTCTAATAGAAACCTATTTTTGAAACTTTTCTAGAAACTGAAAATAAATGCACAATAATTCATGAAGAACTGAGGAAAGTTTAACCTCAAGAAAATGTAGATAAGAAGCCAAACTGTTAATTGGAACTTTTTTTTTTTTCAAAGAGGATAAAATATCTCTTATTATAAAACTAGGTTATACTAGTTAACAAATTATTATTAACATGACACCAGGTTTTTTACCTCAACAATTTTCCATCAACAAATATGTAGGCTTTAAACCATCAAAATAGAAATGCAAGTTACAATATTACATTTTACAAAAAACCAGCTAAATTATTCCTGTCACAGGGACAAACATATTGAAATGATAAAATACATGATAAAAAAAGGTGTAAAAGAAACATAAAAATATATATAAAATTAGTGCTGTCAAACGATTAATCGCATCCAAAATAAAAGTTTTTGTTTACATAGTATATGTGTGTGTGTACTGTGTATATTTATTATGTATATATAAAGACACACACATACAGTATATATTTTGAAAATATTTACATGTATATATTTATATTCATATAATTTATATTATATATAAATATATTTAATATATAAACGTAACATATTTTTCTTACATATATACATGCATGGGTGTGTATTTATATAGTCATAATAAATGTACACAGTACACACACACATATACTATGTAAACAAAAACTTTTATTTTGGATGACATTAATCGTTTGACAGCACAAAAAAATTATATTAATTTTTTTTAATTATTCTGAAACCCTAAAGTGAATTTTACACACACACACACACACACACACACACACACACACACACACACACACACGCACACATGCGCACACGAGC